TATATATATATATATACACACACATACATATATATACACACACACATATATACATACACACACACACACCTTATCTACATATGTAATATATTAATTAATAGATATCCTAATTTCTGTATCCAACAAAGCTGTCATGTCACGTTACAAAAACGAACGACTCGAAACCGAGGACTCCAAAGGTGTACTAATCAGTCTTTCCAGTCATTCGTTACATGACAGCTTTGTCAGTAATATTGAGCTTATGCGATGCTGCACATGCACAGTCAACACAAAATGAACGAATCACAAGTGAACTTCAGCAGCAGATACCAGATGACCCGATGTTCTCAAGTCATGGGAAAGATTCGTTCAAAATGAACGAATCCTTTGTGAACAACATATCACTACCGCGCAGGTGTCAGAGGACCATCACTTTTGCATAAGACTGTAAATATACATTGTACAAATTATACAGATCCGTACAGTTCTCAATTTGTTTAAGTACTCTGTTTTTACTCTTATTTTTATCTCATTTCCTAATGAACATTCCTTTGTCTGTTTGCATTGTTTATTGCTTTGTTTATACTGTTTATTTTGTTATACTATACAGCCTTATATTGGTATATTGTTTACTTGCCCTTTTTTATTGTTGTACATACACATTGAGAGCCGCTGTACCAGAGTCAAATTCCTCATGTCAACACATATGGCCAGTAAAGCTGATTCTGATTATAATAGTTGTCTGTCCCCGCTGTGACTGCATTCCCAGTGGAGCGTTGTTAGCTTCTTGTTTGGCTATCATTAGCAGAACATGCGGACACGTGTGTATAATATTCGCATCCAAGAAAAGCCCACACATTATCCATTTTGCTATTTGAATAATGTCATATGAATAAAAAACAAAACAAAACTGAACCTATGCCAGAAAGCTGGAATGGTAGACCAGCTTTCTTTTTGCAGCAAAGACTCAGAGCCATTCTCTTTCCCGTTTACAACTTGCTGCCACTATGTGGTTTCCGGTCTGTGTTCTTTGTCCAAAAGCTGTACACCATGAGGCATGATTGCTGCCCTCCACAGGGGGAAAAAACCTTTTCTCTGAGGCAGAGAATAGCTTGTTTATCTAAATTCTTTCATGCAGGTTTGTGGAATGTGAATACTTTAAGACTGTTTTCACAATAAGCTGGAAATTCCCTTCTGGCGAAAAGAGACTTGAAAGAAAAAGATTTTACTATCATGTACTCCACCGCAGTTGAGAAGAAAATACTGTACTTTCGACTCACTACATTTACTGTGCAATTTTAGTTACTTTTCAAATTCAGATTGTTAAAGAAAATAAGATCGTATAATAAAACTGTTATGTATGATTATGAACTAAGTGTTTAAAGTACTCTGTCTTCTTAGTGGAGTGGTCTACCTGTAGCCTAAGTTGACTGTGCTCTCCTCACTCAGAGCAAATATCGCTTCAGGCAAAAACCACTTTCTGTACAGACTTCCACTGTATTCCAAAGAAAGGCCCACCAGAATGACCCCAAGTTAAGACTTGTATATGTTTATATAGCATTCAGCATAACAAATGCACAAATTGGTACAATTTGGCAGTTTAAAGAACAAAGACATTACACATGAACATAATGTGAACAAAAATCAAAGTAACTGTCACTATACCTCAGCTGTGATGAAACTGCCAGCTGATCCTCTTACCTGTAAACTCCAAAGCCAGTGAAGTGAATACAAGGAACAAAATATATTAGTAGTCAAATCTCTTTCATACTGGAACCACATGTTTACTCAGCAGTACAATTTCAGACAAATGCATACAAAACTGATTTTTACTGAGAAATGTCTGCTCTGGTAGATTTGGTCATTGTGTGCACCACTACCTGGATTTACAGCTTTGGATTGAGTTGTACGCTCATGTACAAACTGCAGCAAAACTAAAAAAAAAAAGGCACTTACAGCTTTAAGGATCATACCGCCATTTGAAAGCAAAAATATCCAAGAGGCGTCGGTAAACTGAGCAGCAATTTTATATATATATGATAAATATTACATATCGAAAATAAATAACGTTCTAGTCGATGGTTTGACAGCAGTGATTTCCGAGCTGTCGGCCTGAAGGAAACGACATCATCATGTGCATAAATATTTGGCTCAACTGTTCGAGGTCACCTCTTCAGATTCGCCCTCCTCAGGCTCCTCACCAGCAGCTGGAGGAGGGCTTGCATATGCCCAGGTACTTTCTGCAGCTTTCTGGCAGAGCAGAGAGCCAAGCCTTCATAGTGCTGTCTCAAAGATGACCAAGTTACCATCTGCTGTTTCTGCATGTCCGTTTGATATCTTGGCGCAGCTGCTGTTCTCATAAGCCTGAAAACAATATTTGCTGATGTTCATTTTGCTTAAGAAAAAGAGATGATGTACGTTTTAGAAAGCCACAAAGTACGTGTGTTCAAGAGTAGTACTCACATGTTTAGCCAGCTCTAGCAGAGCAGCTGCTTCCTGCTTGCCAGTCTGCTGCACCATCTTATAAAAAATGCCATCTGGATCTTGAAGCAGGGTGTAAGGATCATCGTAGGCGGTGATTTTCCCTGCATCGAGTACCTGGAGCCAGAAGCACATTAAATTATTGCTGAGTTGTATTATGTGTTGATTTCATCTGGTATCTGCCGCTGAAGTTCACTGCAAACCTTAGGACAAAGCTTTGTGGCGTGTGTCAGGTGGGGTTGGGATTGGCTAGTGTCACTGCCAAAACACGAGAACAAAGTAAATGGTCTTATACTTGTACAGCGCTTTTCTATGCTTTACAGCACACTCAAAGCGCTTTCGCACTACTTGGCCATTCACCCATTCACACTCCCAAATGCTCACACATTCACACACCGGTGTCATCACCGGGAGCAACTGGGGGTTCACTGTCTTGCTCCAGGACACTCTGACATGTGGACTGGACAAACCAGGAATTGAACCAATCCGCTCTAACTCCTCAGCCACAGCCAAAGTGATATGGCCTTTGTTGTACATGGGGAGAATGCAACTATAAGTGCTTTACTGTACTATGATACTTTTCTCATGGCATATTACACCAGCTGTTGTAACAAATATGTCATGTCATGAAAAAAATCATCAAAGTATATTATGTCATAAAGTATATTCCCAGTATTCCAATTCAATTCAATGGGAAAGTGTGTCCAAACCTTTAACTGCTGTTCTTTTTGCCTATTATTTCTAGCAAGGTGTACCTAATAAACTGGCAGCTATCAGCATACAAATGACAGTTGTCTGACCTGTCTGTGCACACAACTCTGTGGAAACCCTGCCTAGGAAAGTAGTGACAGGTTTCACCTGCACTGCGTACATCATGAGTATGAAGCCTGGCGTCTAAAAGTCCAATTGGTACTAAGTCCGCTGTGGGCTGATAGCAAGAGCACTCACGAGTATCCTGTCGCTGTCTATGATGGTGTTGAGACGATGAGCGATGGTGAGCACGGTGCATTCCTGGAACTTCTCCCGTATGGTTTTCTGGATCAGTTCGTCTGTCCTGCACAGAGGAGCACATGCTTCTGACAAACTGAGTGTATGAGTCCTCGTGTTTGTATAGGCCATCATCTGAGATGAAGTACACATGATCTAGCATGTTTTGTCAACATCACTGGTCCGACAAGCTAAGCAATGTCAGCGGTACCTGGGATCCACGTTGGCTGTGGCCTCATCGATGATGAGGATGCGGTTCTTCCTCAGTATGGCTCGGGCCAAACACACCAGCTGTCTCTGACCCACACTGAAGTTGGAGCCAGACTCGGCCAGAACCGTCTCCAGCTTGGCAGGCAGCTCCTCCACCACAGACTTCAGCTGCACCTGTGTGCAACACGGCGACAGAGAACTGTATTAATAATAGTGCAAGCATGCATTATGATGAATTTCCTGTCAAGAGGAACATCAGAACAGCCTGTGCAGCGGCGTTCGTTGTTGGAGCCAGTTCTGACATAGTGAGAGTGATGCTGCTGACCTCTTGCAGAGCGTTCCACAGTTGCTCATCTGTATGTTGGTTAAAAGGGTCCAGGTTCTTCCTCACGGAGCCAGTAAACAGCACCGGGTCCTTTACAACAAAAGGGAGGAAGGGTTCTGGTTAGACAACGAGAGGTCATGTTTGATTCGCCGCAGGACATGTTTGAGTGACTGCATCCCAATGGAGAGGAAAGAACTGCTAGACATTGCTAAAGCAAAATACAATATTAACACCGGGCAATCAAACTAAAGCTTTGATACCTATAACTGATGATCCAGCTTTAAAAGCAGCAATGGCAGCAAAGAGATTCTACACTCCCTGTGTTAGTGAACATTACTGTTCTTTCTAGCCTGACACAACAAAGCACCCTAATCATAAATTTTGTGGCACATGAAACTTTCTGCTTTGCTGGGTGATTTTCTGCACAAAACTCAACAAAACAAAGAACTACCACCCAGCATGGCAAGGATCAAAGACAAGTTTCTTTAGAGTAAACGGCTGTAAAAGTCAGTCTATGGTTACCTGTGGAATGATGGACATCTTCTGGCGCAGGTCATGGAGGCCGATCTCCGACGTCACAACTCCGTCGATGTAGATCTTTCCCTGAGGCTCCGACAAGCGGAACAGAGCTGAAACCAGGGAGCTTTTCCCAGCACCCGTTCTACCCACAATACCGACCTGACATACAGGAAACAAAAACCTGGTTCAAAACATCAGCTTCGGTTTAACATTGAGTCGCACAAATGCTACGTGGTGCTCTGAAAGCAAACAGGTCTGACCTTCTCTTTGGGTCTGAACACTGCTCTCAGGTCTTTCAGCACCGGTGGTCCATCAGCGCTGTAGGAGAAGCTGACCCGGTCAAAGGTCACCAGGCCTTTGCTTGGCCAATCGGGAGGGGGACGTTTCTGGGTCTCCCAGGGTGCTTCACTTTCCAGTTCAGTGTACTCGACCACTCTCTCCACTGAGGTCATCTGAAGACAGTAGGAATGCACTGTTAATGACACACTGCACACTAATAGACTGAAGCATGTCACCTGGAGGACAAACATGTACCTGATGAAAATATTTTTACACAGAGGGCTTTAATAATGTAACAACAAAATCATCTCAATTTCTGAGTGGGCTGACAAGTTCCTGAATTATATGAATCTCACACTGTAAAATTCTAAACAATGTAACACAGTGTTTAGTATTGGATATACTGAGGCTTTGTGAATCAATATGAAACAGACAAACATGGCGCCATCTGCTGGTCATCCTGCGGATACTGCATGTGTATGGCTGGAACAAATGACAATGCGCAAGCAGTTAGTCAGAATGAAAGTGGTCCAAAAGGTTTAATTATTGTTATTTTGTTCAATAAGGCTAGTATTATGAAACTGATCACTTTAAAACCGATTCTACGATATTTTGGCTCTGAAAAGTCGACAGTGCCGAGCCTTCTGCTTCAAGCACAACATCATGAAAATTGGCACTTTGAGATGTTGAAGGGACAGACAGTTATTTGTGATTCTAACTCATGATTAAATGTTTAAATACAATAAATACGTATACACGATAAAAATAAATAAATATATAATTAAAATCAAATGTCCATCAGTGCACATGGCACCAGGACACCCTAGGCCGGAGGTCGATGATTGACTTTGTGGTTGTTTCATCTGACCTCCGGCCGTATGTCTTGGACACTCGGGTGAAGAGAGGGGCGGAGCTGTCAACTGATCACCACCTGGTGGTGAGCTGGATCCGATGGCGGGGGAGGAAGCTGGACAGACTCGGCAGACCCAAACGTATTGTGAGGGTCTGTTGGGAACGTTTAGCAGAATCCCCTGTCAGAGAGATCTTCAACTCCCGCCTCC